TGAGGAGCTGTCATGACATCAGGTTCCTAGCATGGTGACAGCTGCACCCAGGATGATGCTGCTATAGAATTCCCTTCCTTCTCTCACATACCACAGGAGTTGGGGTTGATTATATTTGAGGATGTTAGGAGTATTGCTAGTTTTTATGTGTTTAGTCATAACTCTTCACATCACAGGAAGATATTTGTCTCCTGTGGACAAAATAAGTGCAAACCAGCACCGTGTCTCTCTGTATGTGTCACTCAGCAGCTCTGTCATCCATACTGATGGATGCCAGGACAGTGGAGCAGACACTGCCTGGGGGCTTGCTTTCAAAGCTCCCAAACCCAGCCCCGCACTCAAAATCAATATTGGACTCAACATAAACGTCTACTAGTCCAGATGTAAAGTTCTACGGTTATCGTCTTGAGCCAAGTAGGAAAAAATGTTGTTACAACAAAATTGAAGTAAAGTTTTTGAGCCCCAATTCCCACAGTTCCAAAGTGTCCCGATCCCTCAGCATGTGCGAGTGACACAGATGCTAGGACAGCAACCGGGACCTGGTGATGTGGTGCATCGCAGAGGTCCCTGTTCATGGTGTTCTCCCTTGAGAATCCATGCTTTCACACATTTTTAGCATCGTCTTAAAATCTCCGTATGTAGCTCACCTCCTGAGCTTTTATATCTGTTATCCGCTGGCTTTAGAGTTACTTATATCCAGTGGGCTAATTTACAACTACGTTGGGGTTTTCAATAATGTGATTAAGTATGAAGATTTCATCCTAATTGCCATGTGTGTCTGTGGTGTTTATCCGCAGCACTCCTGCCTGTGACTGCCATGATACCAGTCATTTAAAAGTCTGAAAAATCCCACAAGGAAGTTTATCTATCATCTAAGTGTTCTCTTCTCTAACATGTTTTCTAAGAAGCTTGGAATATCAGAAAGAAAAACTAGGGTGAGCAGAGCCCAAATGTGGCAAATGCTTTGCTGATATAAAATGGGGGTAAGAGGAATTCCAAACACTTTGGTGGACAATTTCTATAACAGTTTATGAAACCAGGCATGGTGATCCACACCTATAATCCCGGCACTAGGGAGGTGGAGGAAGGAGGATTGCTGTGAGTTCGAGACCAGCCTGGGCTACATAGTGAATTCCAGTTCAGTAGCAACTACATAATGAGATCCTGTCTCAAAAAGACAAAACAAACAAGAGTTTATTATGTTACTCTTCATATTATGTTTAATGAGTGTAATTGGTGACATCTCTATGAATGAGTGACAAAGCTGTAAAATCAAAATTTAATATATTATATGTGTACACTACATGCAACAAATTTATTATTTTGCAGATAAAAGGCACACAAGTCTTGCTTTGAGATTTTAATATTCTGTTTTAATATTTGGAATAATTTTAGTTTGACACTAAAGTTGCAAATAGAGTAAGATAATTCCTTTATGGCCTTAACCAGTTTCTTCTCATATTAATACCTGACAAAATTATGATACATTTCTGAAGACTAAGGAATGAACATTAATACAACACTATTAACTACAGGCTTTCTTTAACATATCATCAGTTTTTCTACTACTGTATTTTTTTTAACTGTTTCAACGTCTCCAGGAAACTATGCATGACTTAATATAATTTTTTATTAAAACAAAATCTGGTCCTTCTCAATCCTTGAACTACATTGTGATAACTTATTTGAACAGCAGCAGATCACAAGCTCTCCAGTATGTTTGAGAGTCTTAGCCCAGCCACCTGAGAGAAAAGCTGCACAGAAAAATTGAAATAAAAGATTCCAAAAATCTCACAAAGACAGGCAAGGCATAGAAGCCATGCTATCCTGATATTTTTGTGTGAAAACATAGCTCACAGTATTATCCTTCTGGGACACTGCCAGCCAGGACCCCTGCTTCTCATATCACATAGGGTGCAGGTTCATAAAGTTTTCTTGTTGGGTCCATGCTATTTATTTACCTGACTTATGTGACGCCTGTGTAGCCCTGTACTCATTTATGTTATGCGTTGTTGACAGTGGTGGTTTTCTGAATCTATAATTCAGAACTTTTAAGAATGAACTCATTATTTCTGCATCAGTTGTTCTGCACTTCAAGCATATTTTAGCATTATCTCATGCGTTCCTAGGTCAAATAATTTAGAACCTGTGTGGGTAGAAGCCTGGCTTTTATAGCTTGAGTTTTTCTAAACTACAGCTAGGATTAAAACTGACTGCTTCAACTTGCTTTAACAAATACTTATAGAAAGGGTTAAGCTTGATGTTATTCTTCTATGGTTTATAGAATGCAACTGCAGAAAGTACAGAAATAACAAGTGTATAATCAGTGGATTTTCACAGGTGAACATACACTCAGGTAATCAACATCCACATAAAAAAATAACAAAAAATAGTCATTGTGATGGTTTAAAAATGAAGAGTGTCACCCAAAGGTCCACATGTTAAAGACTCTGCACCCAGGTCGGCACTACTGAGAAGTGATGGAGCTTTTGGGAAATGGACCCAAGGGTCACTGGGGCCACGCTCCTGAAGGGGATAATGGAAACCCAACTCTCAGTCTTTCTTTTCTTCCTAGCTCATAATATAACCCGTTCCCTCTGCCATACACGCTCACCATGATATGTTTCCCTTGCCAGATCCCCACAACAATAAAGATAGCTAATCGTAAACTGGAACTTCTAGAATCATGAGCCAAAATAAAATTTTTCTCATTTTATAGGTTAAATGCTTCAACTGTTTCATTATACCATCCAAAAACTAATGCAATTAGCATCCTAAAAATATCCATCTTACTCCTTCTGATTATTAATATCCTCAAGGATAACCATGATGCTGGCTTCTAAAATCTTAAACTAGCTGCACTTAACATTATTCAAATGTAATCAAACAGTATGTACAATTTTGCATCTGGCTTGGTTTCAGAATTATGTGTGAGAGATTCCTCTGTGTAGATGTGTGCAGTGACAGTTTGATCATTTTCATTATTGAATCGGAGTCCATTACAAAAACATACTACAATTTATTTATTAATACTCTAATGAATATTTAAGTTCCTTCTTGTTTTATATCTATTATTAATAATGCTGCTATGAACCATTATACATTTCTTTTGCTGAGTATACATTTCCATTGAATATATACCTCAAAGTGGAGTGTTGAGAAATAAATTATGCATATAATTCATCTTTAATAGATCTTACCAAACATTTTTAAAGTGATTATAACAACTGACCCTCTCACTAATAATGCATAAAGTTTCAGCTGTTCCACCTTTATTAACAGTTGATATTCTTTCAATTTCACTCATTCTAGTGGAGGCACAACAGTATTGTTTTTACAGAGCTTTTGCAAATGAGAAGGGGATCTAAATGAATTAAGACATGTTATGTACATTTACCTATTCACCACAATGAATGTAATCATTAGTACTGCAAACATGTACTCATAAAAATTTTTAAAAGCTTTCTATTGTTTTTCTACAGAAAAAGCACTATAATAAATTTACCCACCTGCAAATGGTAATATAAGGTAATACCTCTTAGTACGTAGCCCTGGGTGCAAGAGATCTTCATCTTTTTCTGTATGCAAAGTGATTCTCAACTCAGCATAAAATAAACAGTCATAACCCTACAGACACACACACACACACACACACACACACATCTTTCTTAATCACAGTTCTTCCCTATACCTTCATTCTACAATATCCTTTTGTAATTTTATTTTCTATAAATTCCTCTCACCTTAAAATTTCTTTATGTCCTATCATTATTTTCTAGCCCAATTCTTACTTCTTTTATTATATAAATATAAAAAGTCAAATTAGATGTATACAGTGAAATTAGATATTAGATATATAATTTTAGCTTTATTATTATGTGACACTTATTTAAAATAAAGTGTAATAAATATCAGGTATTGTGATGCTTTAGTAACAATAAACTATTAAAAGAACACTAATCCTGTGACAAAGAACAGAGCCAACATCGTACAATAGTGAAGATCAGACAGTTGAATTTAACACTAAATATTATCACATCAGAAAGATGGTAGCTGTATTCTTAACTTTTTAGGAACCCTCATGTTTTTCCTAGAGACCATACCATTTGGCTTTCCCACAAATAGGGTGTGATCTTTCCACATGGTTTCCAACACTTGTCTTTTCTTCTTTTGGTAATAGCTCTTCTCACATATGTGAAATGATATCTTGTTGTGGTTTTGATTTGAATTTTTCTTTATATGAAACATTCTCTGGGGGTAGATCACATATTAGGTCATAAAACTTCACAAATTCAAGAATGCAATCATATCAAGTATCTTCTCCAACCTCAATGGAATAAGACTAGAAACCAATAGCAGGGGGAAAAAAACTGGGAAATTCAAAATGTATAGAAATTATATCTCTCACCATGCACTAAACTAAAATCAAAATGGAATTAAAGATCTAAATATTAAAACAGAGACACTAAATTGGCTGGAAGAGAGGTTAGGTGGAACTCTTGAAGACAATGGTGTAGGAAAAGATTTTATGAACACAACCTCAGTTGCTTGTGCAATAGTACAAACAATAAAAAAAAAAAACTTCTGTACAGCAAGAGAAAGCACCCACAGTGTGAAGAGACAACCCACGACGTGGGAAAATTTTTTCACCAGCTCTTCTTCAGACAAAGGTCTACTATCTAGAACATATAAATAACTTTAACAAATCAGACCTCCCAAATTTAAAGCCCAATCCAAAAATGGGCATCTGAAAGGAACAGACATTTCTCAAAGAAGTAGAAATAGCAAATAAACATATGAAAACATGTTCAACATCACTTGTCATTTGAGAAATGCAAATGAAACAACACTGAGATTTCACCTCACCCCAGAAAGAATGGCTGCTATTATGAAATCAGTCAATGACAAATGCTGGCAGAGCTGTGGGTGGGAGGGCAGACTGGTGTAACCACTGTGGGAATCAGAATGGAAATACCTCAAAGTACTAGGATTGGAAGTTCCATTTGATCCAGATATCCATCTGCTGGGTATCTTCCCTAAAAAATTAAAAGAATCATACCACAGTGATATATGTGCACCCATGTTCATAGCAACACAGTTTGTAATAGCTAAAACTTGGAAGCAGCCCAATTGCCCATCAACAGGAGACTTAATAAAGAAGATTTTTTTTAATAAAATGGAATACTACTCAGCCATAAGGAATGAGAAATTAGTGACATTTATAGCTAAATGGATGCACATTGAGGCCATACTCTTAAATGAAATAAGTAGGACACATATGTGTAAATACTGAATAGTTTCTCTAGTGTGAGAAACTGAATGTGTAAATGAGGACTAATAACAGACAGTGGGAAATAGGAAGAAAAGGTGCAAAGGGAAAGCAGAAATAAGAGGGGTGGGGAAAGGAAAGATGGAAATGGAATTGATATGAGAAAAAGGAAAAATGGAAACAAATTCTTTGTAGATAGGGAGAAGTGGAGGGGTTGAATGGAAGGCAGGTTAGGGGAGAAAGTAAAAACCAAGGTGAATAATAGAAAGGCACAAATTTCCAGAAATGAAGTCATTACATTGTATGCCTTTAATATACCAATAAAATTCATTTTAAAAAGAAATTAAACAATATCCTTTTGAATAACTAATGGATAAAAGAATAAACCAAAGGGAAGGCAGAAAAATATTTTGAGAAAAAATTAAAAATTTATGGCTTACAGCAAAAGCAATACAAAGAAGAAGTTCATAGCAATAAATACCTACATTAGGAAGAAAGTTCATCCGAAGAAACTGAAGCTGGTAAATCACACGTTTGAGGTCAGTCTGGGTAAACTCATGAGATTCTGTCTCAAAATGAAAATGTTTGAAAAGCTGTAGGTCAGAGGTAGAGGTTGCTCATTCCTCGATTTAATCCCAAAAGAAAGAAAGAAAGAAAGAAAGAAAGAAAGAATCTCAAATAAATATCCGAACTTTAAACCTCGAGAAAATAGAATTAAAAAAAAAAACCCCAGTTAGCAAAATGAAAGAAAAAAATAAATATTGTAATGGAAATAAATTAAAGCAATAGAAAAATTAAAACTGAGTTGACTTTTTGAAGAAGTAAAATTAACAAATCTTTAGCTAAACTAAAAAAAAGGAGAGAAGATATGAATAAATATTGGAAAAGAAAGAAGAAACATTACAATTCATGCCACAGAAATAAATGAACATAAAAGATTACCATGAATAATTTTCCATAAAAAACTGAATAACCTAAAACAAACAGATACATTCCTAGAAGCAGACAACCTATTAAGATAAATCATGAAGAATCAGAAAGTCTGAACAGACCTATAAATAGTAAAGAGATTAAATCAGTAATTAAAACAGAAACAAGCAAAAAAAAATCCTTCCAACAAAGTCCAAGACCAGATGCCATTGCTCGCAAATTCAACAAAATATCACGAGTTAATGAGAATCTTCCTCAAGCAAATGCTTCCCAAAAATTGAAAGGAAAGGACACTCAAAATTCATTTTACAAGGACAGCATCACTATGATATCAAAATCAGGACAAAAGCACCACAAGAAAAGAAAACCAGAAATGCTAGTGAAGATATAAAAAAGTGCTCAACATCTTTAGCCATTATGAGAATGCAAATCAAAATTACATTGCAATTCTCTCTCTCCCCCACTCTCTCATTCCCCTCCCTCCCTTCCTCCTCTCCTTCTCCTCCTCCCTATCTCTATTTCTCTTTAATTCATGCACATATTTAAATATCTTGTCTAAAGGTTTAAAGTGATTATTCATTTAATATTCTAATGAGAATGGAAAAGTTTCCTCTTATCTAATGGAGCAAAGCAATTTAGTGAAGGAAATACCCACCAATGGCCTTCAGGATATCCTATGCTGGGATCACAGGAAGATGGGGTTCACAGTTAAAATAAACTATACCTGAAATTTAAAACAATAGGAAAATACAAGTGAAATCCTATCTGAAAACAGTCTGCTCCAACATTTTACAAAAGTAAACTAAATTTTAACAAATAAACAGCTGTCCCCAAATGACTAGTTTGCTAAGTGCAGGAATCATTACATATATTAGTTTCACAATAACAGACACCCAGCAGGCCTAACTATGAGCAGTATTTTGGAATTTATCATTTGTTTTACAACTGTCTTTGCTTTCAATACTTCAGGAGAATTTGAACATGCAGAACAAAGGTAGCATCAACTACCAAAAGATCTAAGCCAGCACCACCTAAACAAACACAAAAGATGAAATTTTTTAGAGGTCCAATGTTGGTGGGAAAATGAAATCTATAAGCTAAATTGAAATTTTAAAAAACTGAAAGAAAACCTATGCACCTTGTTGATTTGCCCATGCTGTAGCACATGGCCAATGCTGTGTAATCTTGGACGAAGACTTGGACCCAGTGGCTCTGCACATTCATGTCAGACTCACTCTTCATAATCAGAAACTGAAAGGAGGGAAAGACTTTACTATGCCACTTCTCTCTCCATCCTACAAGCAAAGAATTTTCAGTGCTGGCGAAGACAGTCTATGAAATCTTGGGGAAATTTGTGTCCATAAATTAAAGTTTCTTCATGAGAATTAAATAGGGTGATGAAAATATGTGGAAGGTACTACATAAATTATAAAGCAGCAGATGTGTGTAAGCTATAACAAATAGTAATTATAATCATTTTACAGAACAAAGACTATTTGGAAAGTCATAATTAAGATTTTAATATGCCTAATAGGACTAGGCACACAGTTCATTTCCAATAAATGGTAGCTGTTTTACCATTATTTTTAAAACACAATTATAGAAGTCACAGCCCACGTTCACCAAGCAAACAACATTTTGTGATATTTGATGTAATTAAATGTTAGAAATTCAAATAATAATCAGAATCTTAAATTTCCTAATTATTTTCCATGAGATGACCTAGTCTTGGGTACCAGTGGGGTTATGCACTAATGCAATTACAAAGATACGACAAGTCCTTTGCTTACCACTCCTCCCCCCAAGCGCCACTTGGTCTTTAGCCACCGTCGTGATTATCTGCACAGACCTCACCAGCCACGATGAGATGTTCGTCGACATTTACAAGATCTCTTAGATCGAGGACAGGATGTGCCTGGAGGTGGACGGCAATATGGTCAGTAGAACAGAGGGTGACATTAATGACTCGCTCATTGGTGAAAATGCCTCTGCTGAAGGCCCCAGGGGCGAAGGTACTGAAAGCACAGTAGTCAGTAGTATTGATGGTGTCGTGAATCATCACTTGCGGAAACCAGCTTCACAAGAGGCCTACAAGAAGTACATCAAAGATTATATGAAATCAGTCAAAGGCAAACTTGAAGAACAAAGATCAAAACCTTTTACGACAGGGGATGCAGTACAAATCAAGCACATACTTGCCAATTTCAAAAACTATCAGTTCTTGATTTGTGCAAACATGAATCCAGATGGTATAGTTGCTCTCCTGGACTATGTGGGGATGGTATGACACCATTTATGATTTTCTTTAAGGATGGTTTAGAAATGGAAAAATGTTGATGGATTTGGCTATTACCTTGGATCTATCACCTATCATAACTGGCTGCTGCTTGTCATCCACACACTGGAATTTTAGACAAATGAGACTGATGTCTTCTTGAACTATTCATTTATTTTGATGGTGATTTACTTGGAGTGGAGGCATCATTTTTTAGGGAAAAAAAATGTCATTAGGTTGTCTAAAAATAGAGGGCGTTTAAACTCATTAGAGAGAATGTCTCTTAGTTTAATACACGTATAAACTAAATCCATCATAGTGTTCATGGAGAAGATAGAGGCTGGTCACTGACCACTTCTAGAAAGCATAAGACTGCCTTCAGATAACTTCTGCAGTGGAAACTACTGGAACTGGAATATAAGACACAAATCAAAGTTTTACTTCTGAGTTGCAGTGAAGGGGAAGAGGCCACACTACTAGCAGTGCCAACAGTTGAAATGGAGCTTTATATATTTCATCACCTACAGTGGAAGCAGTTAACCCTGGAAGATATTACCAAAAGAATAAAACACTAACACAGTTGGAGGCAGAGAGAGAGAGAGAGAGAAAGTCACAATAAGTAACCACATAGCATCTAGCATTTCCCCACTCTCCCTTCCAAGTTACTCATTCCCACAACTCACTGTTTTAAAAATCCTATTTCAAGTGAAAGATTATGGTCTAATTATCATAATTCTATGCCCATTAACTATACTAGACCCTCTGAGGCTGAGAATCCCAGACACCCAACAGTCAAAATATTATAAATATATTTTTGTCTGCTAAAGTTCTAGGAATACTGCCCTTTGTCAAGCATTCAAGTTCCCTCATAGAACTGAAATAAAATCAGTGTAAACACAGATCTTAGAATTGACCTTTATTTGTCTTTTTAAAACAAGTACTGCATCCCAGATTTGGGAAGCACACCAGTCTGCACTGTGTGAAACTTCTAGAACTCCCCATTTGTATGCAGGTATAAACCCTGAGAAATCTTTTCCTCCTCACTAGGCCAAGAGGGATTCACGTGTAAAGGAAATTGGAGAACGTTTCCTTTAAAGAACATTCTTGTTGGTGCTGCCTGAGTTTTTGGTTTGTTTTTGTAATTATGCTACTTTCCATGGAAAAAGACGATTCATTTGGCTTACCTTCAAAGGAAGGTGCTTTGAACTGGTCCTTAGAAATGTCAGTCATTTGTACCAGAACTAAAACCATGGCCTCCTAGATTCCCCAGTGCCCACCAGGGCGACCATCCCATACTCCCACTCTTTCTTGGATTGTCCTTTGTCTCTCATGAGTCAATTATTCCCTGAAATTCCACGTACTCCAAAATTGTTTTTCTTTATCTCATCAGTCCCTAAACTCTTTTCCTCATCCTGTGCTTCCCTAAACAACTCATTTCTTCCATCAGCAATTTCTTCCTAGGAGTAAACTGACTAGTTAAACTGAATGATCTAAAGTCTGACTTTTTTTTTTCCTCATTGAGTTTATTGGTACATTTTAGGTATACAATACAGTTACATTCATCATTGGGATCTTGTACCTCTACATGACAGTCTTGGTTCTCATTTATTCCCCTTGTCCCCACCCTCCCTTCACCCGCTCCTCCCTCCTCCTTTACAAACACTTCATTTCCATTTTTTCATTTTCTCATATTTTTTCTTTTCCCTTATTAGCTTTCCCCTACCCTTCCCACTTTCCCTATACCTTTAGCCCTTGTCTTCCTATTTCACATTGTCAATTATACCATTAGGATCTTATGTACCATTATAGTTTATTCACAGCAGAGAAACTATTTGGTATTTACACATGTGTGACATTTATTTTACTTAGGAGTATATCCTCAATATGTATCCATTTTCCTATGCTGACTTTTTAAATAGACTATTTGTTGATGCAAATGACACTCTCACTAGTAGAGCTTCTATGGAATTTTGATTGATGAACCCTGAAACCATTCCCTGTGCATTCTACTCCTAGTCTGATCATTCCCCTATCACCAGCAAATTCCTTCCCAACTGAGTTCAATAGCAAATGTTTAGAAAAAGGTTAATATTCAGAATGATTCTATGGGTATTGTACTTGGTGTCGTTATTTAACCTATCAGGGTATTTCTTATCATCCTTACCACCCAACTACGATGCACAGCCCTCCAGCATCAGAGTCTGCTGGGATCTTGTTAAATAAATGAGTAGACTTCCTGGGAACCACCCCACATCCCCTAAACTTTCAAGAATATTCAGCTGCAATAAAGTTGGAGAAGCTGCTGTAATGTACAGAGCTGAACATCACTAGCAAGTTTTGAACACATATCGTGTAGTTGCCCTGAATGTGGAAGCTGTTATCCTGCTCTTGCTATTAGCAGGAGTCATGGGGATATCTTCAGAGCACTTTTGTTCCTATCTGGTCCATATGAAGTAATAGGAGAAGAATGTGCTGGCAGCAGAAACAGCCGAGCCTGGGGGCAAGCTTTGGTCCGTTACCCTCATCTGTTCTCAGCTGCTTTCAAACTTCAAAAATGAACTTTCCAGTTTCAACATTCACCCCATGTTATAGTCGTTACAGCAGAATGATATCTGGGCTTCGTGTGGGCTCTGTATTGACACCTTGACTGTGCATTGTGTCACAAAGGCAAGGTACATTCATTATAATTGCTCCACATGACAAAAAATATCTATATGCTATTCTTTGCTGGAAATTTATATTGCAAAGATACATAGAGAAAAAATTGTTATCCCTAGCAACTATCAGACACTTTTGTCACATCCATTTTATTCTTTGGCAAGTAAAAAAGTTGGGATGAGAGTTATAGAGTAAGTGTATTGATGGTGTATATAAATCCGTCATATCATTTTGACTAAAATGATTACTATACGGGGTACCCAAATAAGGAATAAAACTAAGCCTTCTGTTTGATTCACATGATCACAAGATGCACTACCTTAATTGAAAGTGACTAAGTAGGTCTATGAACACAAGTGCAATTCCATTACTGGCTCATATTTGGGAATAAAGAAAGAAAATTTCAATAATCCCAAACTCAAAATCTACGAGAAAAATTGCACATGCTCTCCCTTACCTTGCTATAAATAGAGAATAGTATGTAGTGCATATCTATGCAGAAGTTTTCAAGGAAAAGAAAAGGGACCCTTTCGGAGAATATATAAGAGAGGTCAGAAGATGATTTAAAATTATAACAGAACATATTCTTTCCCAGCAGAAACAGTCATTTTTAATGCATCATTTTAAAATAATTTGTCAGCATCTCAGGCAAACTTCCTCCTGTACTCATCACACCCCCGTCAGGAGACATAAAAATACATACAGACAAAAACAGATAAGAGTTGGAGATCTATAAAGGAATACTCCAACTCCCCACACAGTACTTGTAAGTACAGTTGAAAAGATTTAGTTGTAGTTGCATTATTTGTTAATGACATCAAAAAATGTCGATCTCAGGCAACATTTATCATCAGTATTTTCCTTAACTGCAATATCTTTTCTATTTTAATTTACATCTTGGTTCTACCTGGGTTTTGTTTGTTTGTCTCTTTGTTGGTTTGGTTTAGCTATCTCAGAAATATGCTGTGTTAAAATACCACAGAAGATATTAAACTTAATAGAAAGTATCATCAAATCCTGATCATTTTTACTACTAAGCTTTCTGATCCAATACTCAAAGGAACTGTAGGTTAGACCATATTTAATCTAACCACTTCTTCTAATCAGAAAATGATTTAAAGTTATCCTCTAATTATAGTGGGGAACAAATACAAGTAAAGTGCTGAATTAATTTCATTTGGCACTGATTTTTCAAAATAAGAGATGGTCATAACCATTCTCTCTTCAGAGTAGGTGTATGTAAGTTGTTCCCTAGTGGGTGACTGCCTATGCCATTGCTAAATCAAGAAGACACAGCCCACGAGTCTCCCGTTGGCAGCAAGCACCCACATGCAGTCAGAAATACATAAAAGGAAAAAGTGAAAACATCCTGTTTTGCCAAAGTTTGTCTCAGTATCTCCTCTACCCAGGCAGTACTGTGTCTTCTGCCTGCCTGCTTGACTAGTTCAAGACTGACGGATTCCTGCTATAGAGTTGCGTGCTCTTGGGACCCCACTTCTTCTCCTTCTAATCTATGACATCCAGGCCTACCTTTTCCCGTGCTTCAATCTCCTTCCCTTGGTCTATCTAGAAGCAGCACACTCTCCAAGCCCTTCCTGTGAATTCATACTCTGATCCTTGTTCTGCAGCTGCCCCCGAGTAATAACATAGCATTCACTTGCACCCGGGAAGGACAGCACTCACTACACAAAAGACATCAGACACTTTGCGGAATCAATTACGCATAAATTCTGTGAAGAGTTGCTCTAAATACATGCTCCAATGTTAATGAAAATGGGATGTCTCTGCTGAAGTTTCTCCAAATAATTTGCGGTAAAAAGCCTTAAAAGCAGGAAGCAAAGAGTTTCCCTTACATTAGTCACATCTCTTTGGCTACGGAGGGATTGAGGCTCAGCCATGAAGCACAACACCAGGGTAGTGAATGTTCTTTCCTTTCAACTCCATGTAAGTGACCACCAATGACCGCTGTGACGCCTGCAGAAGGTTAACCCTGTTACCAGCTGAGTCTGGCACAAAGCCCAGTGTCTGCTCTGCTTGCAAACACCTCCTATAACCACCTTACAGGAGCAGTTCTGTTCTCAGGCCGCCTTAGCACGGCTGCGACCAGCTGCATCCAGCCTCCAGCCCAGCCACGGATTACATGCCAGATGATTCTTGTCCCCTGAAAATGCTGCAAACAACGAGGCTGAGAAATTGGATCTACCAAGAAAGACCAAAGGGAAGCTATGACATCTGAGGAACAGGCAGACTTTTCTGCATGCATTTGCTAAAGCAAGTATACGAGTAGGAAATTGATCTTCTGGATTCTCAGACACACATTTATATTCTGGTTCCTTTGTTTTTAATTGGGTTTC